CAGTATCGGACCTGGGAACTCAAACGTCTCGACGGCCGCACGCGCGACCCCAGCAATGAAATTATTCATGAATCGATGCCCTCCCTGGATAAAATCTTCGGGTTCGCCGGGCTGTACCGTTAACGAAATAAACGAGGGCTTGGTGGTAGCATCGCGCAGCGAGTGGAATCGCCTGGATGCTTAAGCGAGAATAGCTAGCACATTCGGGGATCACGAAGAGCGACCGGGTGCAGATCGAGCTACCTCTCTTGGAGACGTGCGATGCCATCTTGTGCGAACCAGGCTTCTCTTCGAGCGCTGCTGGCAGCCACTTTTTTGACTGGTTGGATGCCAGCGCTCGAGGCTGAAGACAATGTCCAAGCCCGAGCTTTCGAAGTGCTGCGATCAGGTTTCGCCTCCGAAGAATTCTGGCCTTCCATGCATGCTGCTGAGGCGTTGTCGACCTCTGGTCGTCAGGATGAACTAAGCGCGGTGCTCGTTGAGAAGTTGCAGTACGAAACCGACGATAAACGCCGATGTGGACTGGCTAGAGAGTTAGTCCGTTCCGGCGATCGTTCATATGTGAACCTGCTACTTGCCATTCTGGCTGACCATGAGAGCAGCGGTCGCGTACATGCCGCCGAAAGCTTATTTAAGGTGACAGAGATTGGAGACGGTTCTGAATTACGGGTCGCGATGCACGATGAAGACCCACGACTAGCTCTAATGGCCTCCGCCGCGTTAGCTCGCTGTGGAAGTCCAGCAGCATTGGCCAACATTCGCGATCAGTTGAGTCACGAGGACGACGCGATTCGTGTGATCACCGTCTGGGTCTTGCGTCAGGTGGGTGATGCTTCGGACATCGAGACATTACGGCAACTATTGGCGAATGTGACAGATCCCCTGTTTCGTGGACAGTGCGTGAACGCGATGGCACAGCTGGGTGATCCTGCGGCTCGCGAGCAGTTGATTGAAAACCTTTCTGCCGAAGATGCTGTAGTGCGAGTTTACGCCGCTGAAACAGCAGCAAACTTGGAGAACAGCGACGAGTTGCAGAGGGCGTTGGTAGAGCTTCTAGATGATGAAGAACTTGACGTACGCATTCGGGCAGCCCATGCCCTGCTGGCTACAGGCAGCCAACAAGATACGTTACCGGCGGATGCTGACATCAGCTCGAATGTTTACCCCGCCACGGACTCTAATCCGCGCTGGAGTGAGGGTTCCGTTATACCACTTCGCGATGGAACACTGCTGTTCGCCACGACCCGGTTTATTGGCGGAGGTGCTGACGCGTCGCACGCCGACATCGTGGGCCGCGAATCTCGCGACGGTGGTCGGACGTGGGGAGATGCGCGGGTGCTGCAGGAGAATGTTGGTGAACGAAATGTCATGTCGGTCACCTTGCGGCGGCTTGATCCGACACGCGTTGCCGATGGACCGATTGGGATGTTCTATTTGGTCAAGAATGGTGACACCGATCTGAATGTGTTTCTAAGTATCTCCGAAGATGAAGGGCAAACATTCGGCGAGCCGATCCCGGTGACCGATCGCCCAGGCTATCACGTAATGAACAACGATCGCGTCACGCTACTCGAAAGTGGACGCTTGCTTTGCCCGGTGTCTTTCACCCTCGATCAGACGAAGGAGAACCATTACCGGTCGATGTGCTTCTATTCAGACGATGGCGGACAGCACTGGCAAGCCGGGCAAGGTGAGGTCGATCTTCCCAAACGCGGCGCCATGGAGCCGGAAGTCATCGAGCTGAAAGACGGCCGAGTACTGATGATTGTCCGCTCGCAACTCGGCAGAATTTACGCCGCTCGTTCCAGCGACGGCGGCGACACCTGGTCGGCCGCCGAAGCGTGGGGACCCCCTGCCCCGGAAGCTCCGTCGACGCTGCGACGGATCCCTTCGACCGGCGATCTTGTGCTGGTGTGGAATAATAACGTCGACTCCACCCACCACCACTCCGGCAAGCGAACCCCGCTTTCGATCGCCACCACGAGCGACGAAGGACAAACCTGGTCTGCAGTCCGCAATCTCGAAGACAATCCCGACGAGACCTACGCTTACACGAGCCTCACGTTCTACAAAGACCGCATGCTGCTCAGTTACTACGTGGGCAGCGAAGGCCAAATCTCCAGCCGCTTCCGCTCCTTGCCGGTTGCTTGGTTGTATCAAACAACAGAGTGAGTGTGCGGTGTATGAGCAATACTTACAATCAACTGGCTAATTAATAGGGCTACTTTTGCTAGCACTGGTTTTTCCGGAAGGTGGGTTCGTCAGGGGATGATTTGGGAGCGCCGGAACATCAAGTAACGACCTTCCGCTAGCTGGATGATTCTTCTACGATTTGGTCGAGGTGCGATTCCATAGAACTCATCGCCGTGGCGTTTTCAAAAGGAGTTGAAACAAGCCATGAGCAGTCCTTTCGACTTTTACAACTCTCGTATCGATGCGGGGGAGATCGTTGCTCGGTACGAGGATCCGGACCGGGCCGCACGGGCGGGGCATAAGGTGAACTTCTTTGGGGTTGCGATTCCAAACGGATGCATTCCTCATCAGATTGTCGATGAGGTGCCTGATGTCGAAGATGCGCCGATCCCAGCAAACTGGCATGCGGACACAGCGGAGTTTGCTGCCGCACTCCGGGCCATCGACTTGGCGAAGGATACCTTCACCATGATCGAACTTGGTTGTTGCTGGGGATGCTGGATGAACATCACTGGAGTTTCAGCGAAGCGACTCGGGTTGCAAGTTAAGGTCATTGGCGTTGAAGGGGATGAAGGGCACTTGAACCACGCGCGTAATGCATTGTCGTTGAATGGATTCGCTAGTGATGAGGTTGTGCTGCGTCATGGAATCGCACATGCCAAAAATGGGTTTGCTCTGTTTCCAGTCCGCCCAGAAGGTGTCGACAATTGGGGGCTGGAGCCTCTGTTCGACTGTCCGGACGATAAGCGGAAAGAACTTGTCGAATCCGGGCACTATGTCGAGTCCCCGATGATTGCTCTTGGGGATTTGGCAGAAGGCAGTTCGAAGATTGACTTGCTACACGTCGACATTCAGGGCGGCGAGTCGGCATTGGTGAGAGACTGTCTTCCGGTGCTTTCTGAGAAAGTCGCCTATATCGTGATTGGTACGCATTCGCGACAAATTGAAGGTGAATTGCTAGATGCGTTTCTGAATGCCGGTTGGCAGTTGGAAATTGAGCGACCTGCAATCATGGAGCTTCGCGATTCTGGGCCCTTTGTTACCGTAGACGGCGTTCAAGGGTGGCGGAATCCAACTCTGGCGGCTGCTTAGTCACTACTTCCTTCGGTCGCTAGTCTCACGGTTCACGACTCCCGATTCTCGTCCTTGGCTAGAAAACTTGCGGTTGGACCCTTGGTTGCTGATAATGCGGCCGTGTGGGGGCCCTGCCCTGGATCTTGCCATGCTAGTAGGGAGCTTTGTGGATGCTTCGCCTCAACGCATCACCGGTGCGTCTTTGCGACCGAATCTCGCGGCGTGAGGTGCTGCGCGTCGGTGGGCTGGGTGCGGCGGGGCTTTCGCTGGCCGATCTGCTGAGACGGCCGGCTTCGGCTGAAACAGCGCCCGTTGTTGGCAAGGCGAAGTCGTGCATCGTGCTGTTTCTTATGGGAGGGCCGCCGCAGCATTCGACCTGGGATCCCAAACCGGAGGCTCCTGAGGAAGTTCGCGGTGAGTTCAAGCCCATCGCCACCACGGTGCCGGGCATGCAGATTGGCGAGCTGTTGCCCGAGACAGCGAAGCTGGCCGAGCACGTGTGTCTCCTTCGAGCGATGCGAACGGGTGACAACGCTCATTCGTCCAGCGGTTACTACATGTTCACCGGTGTTCCGCACCAGCCGATGAACCGCGAGAACGCCAACCCTGGGGCCCCAAACAACTGGCCCAACTATGCTTCGATCATCCGCCAACTGCAGCCGGGCACCACATCGCTGCCGGCTGCCGTGCGGTTGCCGCATCACATTTGGAACACCGACGGGTCAGTCTGGCCGGGACAAGCGGCCGGTTTCCTGGGCAGGGCGAACGATCCCTGGTTATTTCGCTGCGAGCCTGCCTCCGACAGTTTCAAGATTCCCGAGTTCGCACTACCAGATGCCCTCTCGTTCGATCGCTTTGAACAAAGGCGGCGGTTGCTGAGCGAAGTCGATCGTCATGTCGAGGGGGCTCACATCCAAAGCGATGCCCTAGGCCAATACGACGGAGCGACCGATCAGGCGTTCGACTTGCTTACGGCTCCCAAAGCTCGTGCGGCTTTTCGCTTGTCTGACGAACCCAAAGCGGTTCGCGACCGTTACGGCCACTCTCAATTCGGGCAAAGTGTGTTGCTCTCGCGGCGATTGGTCGAGGCCGGGGTTCGCCTGGTGCAGGTGAATTGGTTCCGCAGCCCTGATGAGCCATCAGACGCACCCTGTTGGGATTCGCATGCGCGGGAGGCCAAACGATTGAAGACCGTGCTGGTCCCGCCGTTCGATCAGGCTTACTCGGCACTGCTTACCGAACTCATCGACCGCAACATGCTGGACGAGACGCTGGTGGTATGTCTCTCGGAGTTCGGCCGCAGCCCGAAGATCGATGTCAATGGCGGCCGGGGCCACTGGGGCAACGTGTTCTCTATCTCGCTGGCCGGCGGCGGAATTCGCGGAGGGACGATCTACGGCTCCTCCGACGCGATCGGCGGAGAACCCAAGAGCGATGTTGTCATGCCGGCCGACCTGTTGGCCACCATCTTCCACTGCCTCGGGCTATCACCTTCGACCGAAATGCACGACCCACTGGGTCGCCCCTTCCCAATCGCCCGGGGGCGGGTCTTGCACGAGATTTTGGCGTAAGTAGTCTTCTGCCTGAATTGTCGTCTGGCGATACTTCTGTAGGGAACGCCCTCTGTGGCGTTATGTGCGTAACAGCAATTCTTGGAACCCCACAGAGCGCGTTCCCTACAGACCAACTCCGAGCCAAGTTGAGAGCTTCAAATCAGACTCGGCCGGAAGTCATTACGGATCAGTCAGATTCGGCAGCCACAAACCTCCGCGAACTTCGGGGGTCTTCCCGGAAGCTGGGAAGGATTCGGCCACCGCTTCTTGGAGTTTCCCGGACAAGTCGGCAATCAACTCGGCGTGCTGCGACTCTTCGGCCAGATTCGTCAGTTCCAGTGGATCGTTCTCGTGGTCGTAGAGTTCACGGCCTTGCTCGGCCTGATCCCATTCGGTGTAGCGCCACCGTGGGGTGCGGATGGTGTAGCCAAACACCTGGGGTTTCCCGCGGCGTGAGACCTGGCTAATGGTGAAGCCGCGGCCTTCCTCATTCGGATCTCTTAAGATGGGGGCCAGGCTTTGGCCTTGGAGATTCTCTGGGGCATCGACGCCGCAGAGTTCAGCCAGTGTGGGATAGAGGTCGATCAGGCCGACCGGTGTTTTGGCGACCGCTCCCTGTTTGCCCATGCCGGGCGCGGCGATGATTAGTGGCACGCGGGCGCTCTCTTCGAAGAGACTCATCTTCTGCCACAGCCCGTGTTCACCCAGGTGATAGCCGTGATCGCTGGTGAAGACAATGATCGTGTTGTCGGCCAGCCCGTTCTTATCCAAAGCATCCAGGACGCGTCCTACTTGGGCATCCATGAAGGTGATGCTCGAGAAGTAAGCTTGGATGGCCTGTTGCCGCAAGTCGTCGTTCAGCAAGTCGTGCTCAGGCTTGTGGCTGGCCAGGGCCAATGGTGGCAAGTCTTTGACGTCCTCCTCCACGCCTTCAATCAGCGGCATATCTTCCTTTGGGTAGTTATCGAAGTACGGTGCCGGTGCGACGTATGGCGTGTGGGGGCGATAAAACCCGAGTGCGAGGAAGAACGGGCGCTGCTTTTCGCTGGCGCATCGTTCCAGGACCCAGATGGCGTCGTTGGCCATGAGGCCGTCGGTGTGAAGTTCGTCACCACGGGGCGATGCGTACCAACTGAGTGTGCCACCGAAGTTGCCGGGCCGTAGTGTGAAGATGTCGGGTTCTTCCAGCAGGCGATCGCAGCCGGCGGGGTTCATCTCCAATTCCCACGAGCCGGGATCGTCGTGCCCATTGGTTCCGACCGACTTTGGTACAGCATAGTGATACAGCTTGCCGATTCTGGCGGCGAAGTACCCATCGAGTCGAAATGCCTGGGGGAGACTGACGTGATTGGGAATACTTTGCCGAAAGATTTGCGAGTTCGAAAGAATGCCCGTGCTGTTGGGGTACAAGCCAGTGAGCATCGAGTTCCGGCTCGGGCCGCACAATGGGTACTGACAATACGCCCGTTCAAACCTCACGCCACGTTCCGCCAGGCGGTCGATATTCGGTGTTTTGACTTGAGGATGCCCGTAGCTGCCGATGGAGTTGTTCAAGTCGTCTGAAATGATGAACAACACATTGGGGCGTTGTTCATCGGCGGCTTGGACCCCACTATTGCTAAAAGCCTGCATCGCTACACAGAACACGGTGAAAGCGAGCAAGGGCCGAAATGCACAACGGCGGGAAGGTGTCATCTGAAACATACGAACGCACCTGCGATACGTGGTGTGAAACATGGAGAGCCGAGAACTTCACGCGGTCAGGCATGAGCGTGGCTGCCAGTCTAATCGAGCACCGCAGCGAATGCGAATATTAGGGCCGTCCGAGTTCCTGTGTCCCTTTTTCAGATACTGGGTTCCAATTCCCCGCTCCACGCATGACCCTTAGCCAGTAAAGTTGCCTGCAGGATCGAGTAGCCTTGCCCAGATTCGTGGACTACAACAGAAGCAGTCGAAACGAGGCAAATTTGGAACGGGGGACGATCGATGAAACGACGCTGGCTGAATCACCTCGCTATTACTCTCTTCTTACTCACGGCGCTCACGCAACAGAGCGCTGCTCAACGTCGCGGCGGTTTGTCACCTGCTCAAATCGACCAGGTCGATGCGGCGATGCGGGCAGAGATGGAGAAGCAGAACGTTGTCGGATTGGCTGTGGGGGTTATCCGCGACGGTCGAATTGCCTATCTGCAGGGCTACGGCTTTGAAGACCGTGAAAAGATGATCCCCGTCTCGCCCGAGAGCATGTTTCGATGGGCGTCGTGTTCCAAGCCGGTCACCTCGGTTGCTGCTATGCAACTGGTGCAGATGCGCAAGCTGGGTTTGGACGATGATGTGCGAAAGTATGTGCCGGAGTTCCCCGATCAGGATGCGACGATTACCGTTCGTCAGCTCATGTGCCATCAAGGTGGGATCGTACACTACACCAATGGCAAGGTTGTCCGGACGCGAGGAGATTACGAGTCGCGAAATCCATTTGAGGATGTGGTCGTCGCTCTAGATCGATTTAAAGAGTCGCCCCTGATTGCGACACCAGGTGAGCGATACTCTTATTCAACGCATGCATTTATTCTGCTCAGTGCAGTCATTCAGCGGGCAGGCGATGAGAAGTTTGCCGATCAGGTCGCTAAACGCATCGTGAAGCCGTGCCGGATGACGACACTTCAGCCCGACTATCAATGGATCGACATCCCGCATCGGGCCATCGGGTATCGCTTGCGAAAGAACGAAGTTGTACGTTCCTCTAATACCGATGTGAGCTGGAAACGAGGCGGTGGAGGTTACATTTCCAACATCGAGGATTTCGCGAAATTCGCCGAGGCATTAATCGGCGGGCGACTTCTGTCGCGACAGGCTTATGAGGTGATGTGGACCCCGCAATCTACCGCCGACGGAAAGCAAACCGATGCAGGTCTTGGCTTTTTCGTTAGCCGGCAGAATGGCAATCTAAAGGTCTCTCACAACGGTTCTCAGGAGAAGACGAAGACCCGAATGGTGATCTATCCCACTGAGGGGCACGGAGTGGTGGTGATGAGCAATTCGGAGAACGCGAATCCGGGGGCCTTCACCACGGCGGTTTATGAGGCACTCAAGTAGCCGATGCTCGAAGGCTGCCTTGTGTCAGTTCCGGTGTGCTTTGTGGCACTGCGTGCATTGCGCCTGAATTGCGTTGAATTGCTCGCTGGCCAGGGCAGTATCGTCCTCGATCAACGCCGTCTCTAGTTTTTCGGCCGCCTGCTCTGCCTCGGTCATCCATTGGAGGAATTGCGCATCGTAGTCGTTTTCTTCCCGAAGTTGGCGAACTGATTCGCGGAAGCCTTCCTTCAGGAGCAAGGCTTCTTGCTGGGCGACGACGTCCGGGTGATCGGGCGGAGTTTGCCAGTCAATGGCCTCACTAAGTTTCAGATTGTCAGAAGCTCGATCGATCTGAGCCATGGCCGCGACGAGCGATTCGACTTCGGCAATTTCGACCAGTTCGGGCAACTCCGCATCGACCGGTGGCGGAAGATAGCCTTTCACGTCTCTCCAGAGGCCGGCGTAGTTGGGGCTGGTTCCGGCCTTCTCGAGAATCGCCATCGCCCCCTCTCCATCGGTAGTGCCAGAGGCGATGCAGGCCACCGCCGCAGCGGCCGGGCCACGATGCTTGCCATGGTGGCAGTGGATATAGATCGGACCGTCGATCTCTCGAACCAGCCGAGCGAAGGAGCGACCAGCCTCCGCCGAGATGCCGTCGTAGCCGATGGGTATGTGAACGTATCGTAATCCGTGTTCTTTTACCGCGGCAACATTCGGGCGAGCACCGTCGACGCTGACCACTGTACGAATCCCCAGCTTCTCCAGGCTGGCAAAAGCAGTGCTGTCTTTGGGTTCGCCTCCGGAGTAAATCCGGTCGGTCACTTGCAATAGGTTGTGAAGCGACGGGAAGTCAGTCTCGGTGGGACCCGATGTGGGCAGAATTACTTCGTGGCTAGCAGGAGATTCGCTAGCGCCCTCGGCTTGTGACCTTGGCACCGTATCGTCTTCGCCCGACGTGCACCCACAGCAGGCCATCGCAATCATCACAATCGTTACAGCCCGCATATTCGGACTCTCGTAGTGGGTGCATTGAGTGGATTAATCCAAACACTCAGCATATCCAGATTATCTGGAACCGAAAGCTAATAGATGGGACTGCGCACTCAGTAATTCGCTTCCAGAGGGTCGCCAACGGTATATGAACCGATATCAACGCAATCAAATTTGCATCAGCGTTTGGGCGATCACCCTACTCTGCTGGGGCATTGTAGCTAATGCTCAAGACCAGTGGACCGGCGCGGTTCCACCGACCTATGGCGAATTGCTCTCGCGGCTGGAACGGCAGGAATACGAGCTCGAGCAAATTCGTCATCAACTCCAGCAGCAGGCAGGCGCCCAGCAGGGGCAGGTTGTTTGGAGCGGTGACAACTGCGGCTGTGGCCATGAAATCTGGCGACTTCCGGTTGTCGTAGAAACCATTCCTCCCTGCTGTGCTGCTGAAGAAGATATCCAGCCCCATGTCATGGAGTTTGAGACGGTTTACGACGATGGCTTTCTAATTCGCGCTTTCAACGAAGAGAAGAACCCGTTCTCTCTGCAGATCAATGGGCGAATTCAATTTCGCTACATCGGTTTCGATCGCAATGTTGTGAGTTGGACAGACAACGCCGGGATTACGCGTCCAGTAAGGAACCGGAACGATTTTGAGATCGAGCGCGCGCGGCTGATTCTCTCGGGGCACGCTTTTTCTCCTCGCTTGACCTACTATCTGCAGATCGACGGAGACACAGACGATAACCATCAGCTCGAACTATTCGACTACTGGTGGGCGTGGGAGTTCGGCGAACTTTCCACGTTCCAGATGGGGAAACGAAAAGTGCCTGCTGTGCGGCAGTGGTTGCTGAGTTCTAGTGACACGCGACTCATCGATCGCCCAATGGCAGCCGATTTCTTCCGCCCCGACCGCTCGGTTGGACTATTTAGCAACGGGAAATTGGCAGAACGCGTGCACTACCAGGCGATGGCCGGAAACGGCTTTCGCGCTGCCAACTTGGCACCTGGTCAACTGGATACCCGCTTTACCTTCGCGGCGACCAGCTACTGGGATCCACTCGGAGATTTCGGCCGCCAAATTGTCGATTACGACAATACTGCCCAACCCCTGGCTCGGTTTGGGCACTCGTGTGTTTACTCACCTCAAGGCGATGCAGATCTGGGCGCTCCGCTCGGCGAAGCGGATTATCTCCGGCTGACAGATGGGACGCGTGTAACTGAAAAAGGGGCTTTGGGCCCTGGGGTCACGGTCTCTGAGTATACGCTATGGCTTTACGGGGTAGATCTGGCCGCAAAGTGGAGGGGATGGAGTGTCGACGCGGAGGTGTTCTTCAGATGGATTGAGGACATCGAGGGCGACGGTCCGCTCGAGACGACGGACTTGTTCCAACGAGGATTCTATGTTGAGGGAGGGCGATTCCTCATACCCAGCAAGTTGGACGCAAACGTCCGCTACTCCCAAATTGATGGGCTTTTCGGGCATGCCTGGACCTATGCGGGAGGCTTCAATTGGTATCCCGGGCAGACAACTCGCGTCAAAGTCTCTGTCGATGCGACGCGAATTCACAACAGCCCTCTGAACAATAGCTCTTCGAATATCCTGGTCGGATACGACGGGATGTTGTATCGGGCACAGTTTCAGGCGGCATTCTAGACCGGATCGTCAGACCGTTTGCCGCCCCAGGCTCAGAGTGCCGGAAGTTCGCCTCGGTGAACGGCCTCAGGGCGGGTTTCGACAACGGCCCGCTCACAGTAGAATTCCCGCGTCGCTAGCCGACCGTTCTAACTATATTTCCACGTGGCTGACGGTTCGATCTGTTGGAATTTAAAGCATTTATCCAACTCGTTTTCGAGCTCATGGGGGGCCTTGGCCTCTTTTTGCTCGGGATGAAATATCTGTCTGAGGGCATGCAGGCCGTTGCCGGTGCCAGTCTGCGACGGATGATCGTGGCTGTGACCGACAACCGGTTTATGGCCACATTGGTGGGGACTATCGTCACCTGCGTTGTGCAATCCAGCTCAATCACAACGGTCATGGTGGTGGGCTTTGTGAATAGTGGTGTTATGCAGCTTTCCCAGGCCATTGGCGTGATCATGGGAGCCAATATCGGCACCACAGTCACCGGCTGGATGCTCGTGGTAAAGGTGGGCAAGTATGGGCTACCACTTTTGGGTGGGTCGGCCTTTGTGTATCTGTTCGCCAAGAGTGAGCGCTGGCGGTATTGGGCCATGGCTCTCATGGGCGTGGGCATGGTGTTCTTCGGCCTGGAGCTTATGAAGGACGCCTGTGCGATTATCAAAGACATGCCTGACTTCGAGGCGTGGTTTCAACGGTTCCAAGCTGACAGCTATCTGGGAGTGCTTAAGTGTGCTCTCGTTGGCTGTGTGATGACGACGCTTGTGCAGTCTTCGTCAGCCACACTGGGCATCACGATCTCGCTTGCTTTTCAAGGTGTGATTTCCTACGAGACAGCGGCGGCACTGGTGCTGGGCGAGAACATCGGCACAACGATCACTGCCCTGCTGGCTTCTCTGGGGGCGACTACCAATGCCCGGCGGGCTGCTTATTTCCACATGATCTTCAATTTAGTGGGGGTATTTTGGATCACCGCCCCTTTCGTTTTCTTCCGCTACATCAAGCTCATCCAATGGCTTGTCGATGGTGACGTGTCTCAGATGGAAATGGTGGACGGCGAGGAAACCTTTCCTCACACCACCGCTGCAATTGCCGCAACGCACAGTATCTTCAACGTTACGAATACACTACTGTTCTTGCCATTTCTGCCTTTCTTTGTGCGATTTTTGAATTGGGCGGTTCCCGGGAAAGGCTTCAAAGAGAAGCCTCGACTCACGGACTTGGATATTCGCATGCTGGAGACCCCGCTGCTTGCGATCGAACAGTCGCGGAAGGAGATCGAGCGAATGGGCGATGGGTGCTCAAAGATGCTCGACTGGTTGGCCGAATTGGTCGAGCAAGACTCGCCCGACAAGACCTTGGCCGATCGCCTTAAGCACCGAGAGCAGGTGCTAGATGCGATTCAAGACGAAGTCGCCATATTCATCACCAACTTGCTGTCTGCTAATGTGCCACACTCGGTGGCTGATGAGGCTCGACGACAACTTCGCATGGCCGACGAATACGAATCGGTGAGCGACTATGTCGTAAATCTTGACCGTTTCGACCGGAAACTTCGCCGAGACGGCTACCGTTTCACAGAGCAACAGCGAGCTGACTTGGTGGCACTCAACCATCACATGAAGGCCTACCTTGCCGATGTGAACGAAGCCCTAGCCAAGAAAAACGAAAACATCGTGGCCAAGACGGCGCCCACGGCTAAGCGGCTGCGGGAGGAAATCAAGAATCTCCGTCGCAAGCACATGGATGATCTGTCTGATGGCAATATCCCCCCGATGGTGACTGTGGCCTACATGGCTGCCCTGAATGCTTTCTCTCGAGTGCGAGATCATACGCACAACATCGCCGAAGCAATCTCGGGTGAGAAATAGTGCTCCCGTTTCAGAGGGAGGACCGAATCTGCCACCTTTGACCGGTGGGGATGTGGGTTTTCCCGGGAGTTGAGTGCACCCCTTGAGCGATCGCTCTATGAGGGGGATCTCTGCTCGAATGCACTTTTCCAGCATTCAGCCCTCAGAAGTTGTAATTACACCTAACCAATTGCCACATCAAACATTACTTCCTGCGAATTTCTGCTTGACAGGCCCGGAGCCCCTGAATATCACCTACATATAGCTCTATTGAATCCAATAGGACCGGGGAGGGACGCTCATGTGCTTGGTAGGTGGGGGGAGCACCCCTGAGGTGCGCCGCTCTTGTAATCAAACGGTAGTCCCTTCATCACGAGCACCTGCATTCACGGCTGCATTCGTGGCTGTTGTTCTCAGCGTCTCCTCTGTTCTTGCAGGTCCCTACTCCGAGATCGTAGCCTTCGATTCAAGCCTGACCGATCAGGGCAATCTCCAGAAGTTTTTGCTCGATGGATACGGTTTCATTTTTCCACCGCCACCCTATTTCGAGGGAAGGGTTACGAACGGGAAGGTTTACGTAGAGTACCTTGCCGAGCAGCTGGGGCTCCCAGCGCCTGAAGCCAGCTTGAAAGGTGGTAAGAATTATTCCTTCGCTGGTGCACTCGCCGGCCCAGGAATGGTGGCCGCTGAGATGTATCCGCCGGGCTGGCCCAATGTCGGAGAAGAGGTCGACCAGTATCTTAGCGACTACACACCAGTGGGCGACGAACTTTTCGTCATCAGCGGTGGGCAGAACAATTTGTACGAAGCAGAGTTTCAAGAGGGCGGCGCCGATGTCGGCGTGCTTGTCGATCTCATGCTTGACCACGTCACCACTCTGGCGAATGCGGGGGCGAACAATTTCCTTGTGACCCTCTTGGCTCCTCTAGAGAAATTGCCTGAGAGCCTGGGAGATCCAGTCGAAGGCAACTACTACGGACAGAAAGCTGCAGAATTCAACGCCTTGTTAGTCTCCGAGCTGGACGCATTAGAAGACTCATTGCTGATTGATATTTCGATATTGGATCTTCACTCCCTGTACAACGACATCATTGCAAGCCCACAAGACTATGGGATGGTGAACGTAACGGACCCAGCTTACAACGGGGAGAGTGTGGTTCCGAACCCTGATGAGTACCTCTTCTGGGATTACGGTCATCCTACGACTGCAACTCACGAGCTATTGGCTAACGCAGCGGTCGAGGCTCTTGGCTTCGGCTCCACAGTACCGGTTCCGGAGCCTTCGACAGCCGCTTTGGCAGCATCGGCTCTCGGTAGCCTCATCCTGTTAGCAATGCGTCGTAGAAGATAAGCCTCTTGCTGGGTTTCTTATGCTCTTAGGCTCTTGCCGTACGCCGAGTGATCCTAGTCTTCATTTTGAGACGTCGATCGCATGGCTTGCACCTGCATTCGGAGTTCATACCGGCGTCGCGCTGCATCTGCGTCTTGCGGTTTGGGGACCTCGACCGGGTCATAACCGCAGGCTAGTAAGGTGTCATTGACGATGGCTCCCAACTCACCGATGGTTGTTGGGGAGAGCTGTCTCCAGCGTTCCATGCTGCCTCGGGCAACGCTATTAGTGCTCACACTCTTCCAGTCACCAAAGCCTGGTTGTTCCATAGGTTGAAGAGCCCTAGCGATTAACCCATCGTCCCAGGGCTCATCCAGGGCTTCGAACAAGCGCTTGGCTTCTTCCTCAGGCGAAGTCACCAAGTTCTCGTACCTAATGCTAACGACAGAATCGCCTAGACGTTTAGCGAATTCTAGTTGCGTGGTTACCACATCTACCCAAGCATGTGCGAATGCCTCGAGTGGACGGGGATATCGCTGGATGTAGTGGTGCAATTCGTCAGGATACCGCTCAATGGTGTCGCACCACTGTCTGCAACTCACGCCAACATCGAGGGCATGACGGTAGACTAAGACATACCGAACCTCGGGGCCAAGAATTCTCTCGATCGCTTCGAGGTGGAAAGAGTCGACCGCGGTCTTTTCTGCCCAACGAGGCTTGTTCTGTTGCCTCGCATGTCGTGCGAGCAGATTGAAGGCCAACCCTCGCAACAGCTCCAGCGTCTCGCTCGGCTCGGTGCCCGCCAGTGCCAGCCCGCTAAGTGGGCCTACCTCCAGGCCATCCAACACCCGTTCGGCGGAAATGAACCGGGCGCACCCGGTCAGAACATAGGTCTCGCCAGGGCAGGCAATTCGTGGATGGGCATTCAATATTCGACGTAGAAGAGTCGTACCCGAGCGAGGAAAGCCGAGCACGACGATGCCCTGTTGAGCGTGTTCCGCAGACATGGCTTTCTACTTTTTGGTGAAGAGGCTTGGAACCCTGCAAGTGTGACGGATTGGTTCGTCATCCACCCTGGGCTTCCGCAGTTCGTTTTTCGCTAAAGCTGAGGATTCTCGAGATCGAATCGAGGTTTTCAAGCTGCACTTCGGTGGGTCGCATTCTGAAATTGCCTTTGCTTTCGATCAGGCTAATCAACTCAACCATCGCGAATGAGTCGACCATACGTGACGAGAACAAAAGAGTGTCGTCGTCGATCTCGCTTACATCCAAGTCGGTTTGTTCTTCCAGGAAAGCAAGGACATCTTCGCGAGTGAGGGACATATTTAAGATTCTCGATTTCGCTAGAACGATAGTCAGTTTGTGTTACTGGTGATGTGAGAAGGTCAGCGTCCAGATGGATTATCATCACACAGTTTACGCAAAACGCCGCGGTCAATCTTCCCATTAGCATTTAACGGCATCTGGTTTACCAGGCGGATTTGCTTGGGACGCATGTAGTCTGGCAACCGTGTTGCAACTTCTCGGCGGAGCGCTTTTACGTCTGTATCCGCTGTTTCCATGAACGCAATCAGGGCGTCGGCGCCACTGGCCGTGACCGGCCACCCAATGACGGCCACCGAGCCAACTCCCGAGAGTTCTCGCAACACCGCTTCGACCTCTCCGAGTTCAACGCGGTTTCCACGAATCTTGATTTGGTGGTCGATTCGACCGAGGTAGTTCATCGATTGGCCTTCCACGGCGCGCCGCACACGGTCTCCAGTGCGATAGAAGGTGTCGTTCATGCCGGGAGGCACCAAAAATGCCTTCTCGGTCGCAACCGGGTCTTGCCAGTAGCCTAGGGCAACCTGAGGGCCTGACATGAGCAGTTCCCCGTCCTCACCTGGAGATACCTCCTCTAGTTTCTCATCAACCACCAGTGCCGTCATTCCAGGGAACGGTTCCCCAATGGGAACCACGCCCTGTTCGCCCTGCTGTGGCGATTGCTCTTCGTTCCAGCGGTGCAAAGTACAGCTCAGGGTTAATTCTGTGGGCCCATAAAGGTTTTCAACAGTGGAATTAACCGCGGCCTTGGCCCAGGCCGATGCCGCTTCCACCGTGAGGGCTTCGCCGCAGAACAAGCTCCAACGCAAATCAGGGAAGACACCTTCTTCTAAAATTCCCAATCGTCGCATGAACAGCGCTAGCGATGGGACGGAGAACCATAGGGTGAGTTGCGCATCGTTGATGTAACCAGCAGGCGTGAGGAGTTGCTCGGCACTGGGGCTGCAAACACAGGCTCCGCATTCCCATGCAGCGAAGAGATCAAAAACCGAGAGATCGAATACTAGATCGAACATATGCGAGAGTCGATCGTTCTCAGTAAGAGAGTATCGCTGCACGACCGTGTTCAAGAAGTACTTGGCGTTGGCGTGCGATACCATCACACCTTTGGGCACACCCGTGCTTCCAGAGGTAAACATCAAGTATGCAATATCGTTCGCATCACAATCGACTGAGGTAAATGAATCCTCTTGCTCGAGTTGCTGCGACCCGAGAAAAATATGCTGGCTGAAGTCGGCCTGCCAGGAGCTGGTGTCGACTTCTTCCGGCATAAGCACCGTTAGCTTTCGTGAAATACTGCCCAAGACGGCTTTGAGCTTCTCTGCTCCGTTTCGATCGACGATCACCGCGGTTGCCTGAGAGCGTTCAAGCATGGTGGCGGTTCGTTCTGGTGGGAACGTTGGATTGAGTGGAACGTAGCCATGGCCACGAAGCAGTGCGGCCAAAATGCCGGCAAAGGCGGTCTCAGTTCGTTGAGCGAAGACCGCGGTCAGCGGTGTGGCAGGTTGTGAGTCCTTCGCCTGAAGAGCAGAACAGAGCGTCTCTGCACTAGCCTTCAGTGCGGCGTAGGTAGTCGGCTTGCCTCCTACATCGATCGCCGGACGGTCAGGAAAGTGCTCACACGATTGCAGGAAACCCGCGATCAGCGAATTCATTCGATCACTATTCTCCCGGGGAATCAGGCATCCCCTGCCCTGCTATGGCGTCACCATCTATACGGTGGACTACGGAATCGCTCTGCCCACACTGCCCGTTTAGAAGGCTTTAAATGGGCCAATCAACTACCCAGATCAATGCCGAATAGTTTAACCATGATCCGCAGGCTGTCGAACAGCGTGCCTTGGTTGTGAGTCTCGGTCCAGGCGTAACCTGCTGCTACGAAGAGAAAAGTTAGCGGGTATCCCAGCCGCTTAGCCCAGCGGGGTTCCTTCTTCGCCCAACCTCTTTTCATTTTGGTTCTTCGCCAGGTGGTGTAGATGGCAACTCCGGTGGCGTGATAGGCACCCCAGATTAGCCACTGCAGCGTGCCATCGTGCCATAGCCCGATCGTGATGAAGCTGGCGTAAACCGCCAGGTAGGGGTTGCGTGTGATGCCAATCAGCGGCATGTAAACGTACGACTGGCACCAGGTGGCCAGCGTCATATGCCACCGGGTCCAGAAGTCGGCGATGTTCTGGGCCAGTATGGGGAAATTGAAGTTCTCCATGATCGTAATGCCGAACAGGCGGCTCGAGCCAATGGCCAGATCGGCATACGCACTAAAGTTCAGATACGCGTAGAGGTAACTGATGATGACAAATCGCCAGGCTTCGAGGGTGCTCGATTCGCCTAACCCTGCGAGGAAGTCTTGAACGGTGGGGATCGGGCCAAAAATCCACGGCAGAACGATCGTAATGAGTGTGAACTGCTTGATTAGCCCGTAGACAATTCGGGTAAGCCCTTCAACGGCGAAATTCCAATCCCAGTCGAGTTTTCTCTCCGATAGGAAATGCTCGAACCGCTCGATTGGTCCAGCAGTGAAGATGGGAAACAAGAAGATGTAGCAACCAAAGTCCAAGGGGTTGAACTTAGGAAGCGTTCCGCGGCGCGATTCGACTGCGAAGTGAATCAGCTTGAAGGTGAAGTAGCTAATACCCAGCGGGAGTATTACGCCGACGAGTGGTGCATCGGCAGAGAATGCTTCGAAGATTCGCGGTAGGTACTTGAAGTAGGCCAGAAACCCGAGGATGCCGAGGACCAGCACCCAGAGACTCACGCGTGCTCTGCCTGGGGGAGTTTCTGGCGTTGGGGCGAGAAGATAGAAGGCCACCGACCATGCCGAAAGTGTGGCCGCACTGAAGGCATCAAGCCAGATGAGTGAGCCTAATGAGGCCAGCAAAAGAAACCCAACCCGTAACGCCCGGGGTAGGCTCCAATATACGGTGAAAGTGAGCGCCAGAATGGCCCAGAATTCAAGTGTCGGCAGCATGTTCTCTCCGCGCCGACATTAGAAGCCTTGGTAACGGAACACTGGAATGTCGCCAGTGATTGCGAGAAGACAAAGAATGGCTACGGCTAGAAGTATCCCGAGTGTTAACCCGCGAATGATTTTGCCGAAAATGTGTGCCAAAAACTTCATGGTAGGTTCTTCGCCGGGCCTCGATTCGGAGGTTTGTTACAATCGCCTTCGCGGTCATCGCAGTGCCTATGTCCGGCTGAACATGCTATTCCTTCAGGCTCCGGTCTTTTTGGTGGATTGCGGTATCTTTCAAGAATTTGCGGACAGCTGCAACAGTTTCCGGAGGCAACTCTGCATCTTCATATGATGTTTCCCCAGCCCTCAGGTATTGAATGCCATGCCGACCGGCTATCTCGCTAATACGTTCATCAAGCTCTAAGTCCTCAGGGGGGGAATCCTCCGTGGCAGTATCTAGCACAGGATGGCTGGAGTCAAAAACTACCACAGGTCGAACTAGGCGTGTGGCCTGCAACTTATCTAACAGCCTTTCGAGCAATTCGAGGTTTGCTGCGATATTCTTTGACTCAGCACCTATTCGAGCTTTTGAAGAATCCCCGGCGGGTTTCGGGCCGAGGTCTCTGCTTACCTGTTGCAGGCTTGTTCTAAAGTCTTCCCCGGCACCTGCATTCTTGATTGCTGTAGGAAGTCGCCGTAAGAGATACAGATAGTTGTCCAGTAGATAGTTGTCTCTCACCGGCACCGTAGGCTGTTCGAGACGCTGAAGTTCGACGGTCATTGCCGGCGACCTAAAACCGAATCGAGGCTCTAGATCCAGCATTCCGGCGAGATCGGTTCCTTTGGTCAAAGAAGATGGACTCAATTTCAGGAGAACTACACCAGTTGTGTGGCGAGGGATTTGATCCGACAGCGCCAGGCTCTCCCAAAGGCTTTGTGAGGCCGTTCGAAGATCGTAAATTTCAGGTCCTTCGGCAGTTTCAAAGAAAGGATCATCGCCTGATTCCAGACGAATCTCAGTCGAAAGGGTGTCTCCCAGGGCTATAATCGCGGGTCGTTGAGATTGAGTCATCCGAAGCTTAAGAGCGCGTTGGGTGATTAACCCATCAACGTCACTCTCTCCACTCATAAAAAGCCAACCATGACTGGCGACCCAGGATTCGTCGATATACCTGCACCCGACTAAGATGATGGTTGCCGCCGACGCGAAAGCAATGACCAGCGAAAGAGCAGAGGGCTCGATTAAGCCCTTTTTCAAGCACTTCAGCACTGAAAGCTCTCTGAGAGAAGCTTGACGCTGTATGGATGAAGCATGCGACATTTCAGCTTCCATAGCTCGCGTCGCGTTGCCTAGCGACCTTCAAGTGGGATACTTTGAGCGCTTGACTTGATTTGATCTTTTCAGCAACACACCGGGCCACGATTTCATGTCCAGCCGGGCTTAGGCTCTGATCGATCTTCGAAAATGGTGGAAGTTGGTCTTGATCTTGGGTGGCTACCAACATTGGCTCCATCAGGTTCAATGTGTGCATTACTTGCTGTTCTTCGAGATAGTCTAAGACTCGAGGAGTGAGCGTATACGAGTCATCTCCAAAGATGCTATAGGTATGAACGTTGGACGGTTCTGGCACGAAAACAGCCAAGTATTCTGCCCCGGCATTGTGGCAAAGAGTCTGAGTCTCGAGCAATAGTTGGGCAACTCCGCGGAAGCGGTCCTCGTTGCCTGGTATTGCGTGAGGAAAGAATACTTCGTGCCAACCATCGATCGATGAGACCGCCCAGGGAATGTGTGACAGATTCAATACTTTCGGCCAGAAATGAGAAGTCGCCGACTGCATCGTCACTGCATGGTCTTCGTAAGTCAGATGTGGCTTCGAACCCATCAAGGGAGTCCAAGGATAAAACACAGCCCGACCGTCGGCCTTGATGAGGAACTGGACTACGAGATCAGGCTGGTATCGGAGGCCTTCTTTTTCGAGGAGGATGAACTCTTGATCGGCGCTGAATCCAATGGCACCGAGGTTCACTGTTTCGCTGTTGGGCACAAAATCTTCAATTCTCGACACATAACAATCTCGTTCGGCAACTCCCAGCCCGAAGGTTCCACAAGCACCCAGCGCAACAATACGGAATACATCCTCATTATGCTCGTAGGCATGCTCAACATCACGCATCCCGCGAGAGTTGGTTTCGACGAGGTACGGCCCTGCCTCGCCGTTAAAGGCCTTTTGGATGTTGGAGCGAACTCGCCACCCAGTTTGAGAGTCTGGCTCTAGACAGGAGTCATGGCCAATTGACCAAAGTCCTGCGTGAATAAGCAATTCCACTACCAAGGCAATGAGAAGTACCCGCAGGGTGACAAACTTCATTACCTCAAGAATACGACGAATCATTTAGAACTCCAGATTCAGATCTGTAGTCGTGTGTGGTTATGAAAGGGCGAATCTATGTTTGGACTTCTACGAATCATTTCTGGCGAAATGGACCAAGTGCATTCGGTTTTCTGTCGCATGAAACGAAGCATCAGGCCATCTTCTTCATTGTAATTCGATCCTTGAGCTAAGCACAGTCGGGCGTTACCCGGGTTAGAAGGCTCGCGCCGGGAGGTGGTTGTATGGGCGGCGAAAGGCGAACGCAATGCTTGGTTTCACTGAAGTGCAGAGCAGAATCAAGGTGCATCATTCTCTGCCACACTTGCGATTCCATCTCGTTTCGCTATCGCCTGAAATGTGGGCCGTGCCTTAACTGCCTCAGCAACTCTTTGGGCTACAACTGAATGGCCTCGGGCGCTTAATCTTCCGTCTCCCGGAGAGAACACGGGATTCTCTGTGTTTGTCGACTGTGCATCTGAGACGGCACTCATCAAATTGACTCCGCTTAATTGCCCTTCATTCTGCAGATAGTCCAGCAGTCGTGGGATGAGTACAAAGGAGTCCTTGCCGTAGAGTTCGAAGGTAGCCACATTGGCAATCTCAGGGACATATACTGCCAAGTAGTCAACTCCCGCGTCATGGCATAGTTTCTGGGTTTGAAGTAGCAGTTGAGCAATAATCCGAAAGCGGGCTTCATTGGAAGGAAGAGAGTCAGAGTAAAGTGCACTGTTCCAAGCATCGAAGCGGCTGGCCACTATAGGGAGGTGCGTTAGGCTTAGTGCTTGCGACCATAGTTCTGGTGTTGGGGGGCAAAGAGAAACCTGGTCTTGTCCACAAGTGAGGTGCGGTTTTGGCCCGAATAGCGAGACAAACGGATAGAAGGTTGAGCGACCATCCTGTTTTATCAAGAACTGAATCACTAAGTCTGGCTGATATCGTAGTCCAACATTTTGCAACTGGATGAACTGCTGGTCGGCACTGAAGCCAATCGCTGCAAGGTTGATGGTTTCACTGTTGGGAACGAGCTCTTCGAGTTGCGAGACATACGTCTCTCTTTCGTCTACTCCTAGTCCAAAGGTTCCGCAGGCTCCCAAGGCGACAATCCGATAGCTATTGCCAGTATGTTCGTATGAGTGCTCAGCATCTCGCATTCCCCGTGAATTGGTTTCAATCACATAGGGGCCGTCGGCCGAGTTGAAGACTTTCTGCAAGTTGGGGCGAACTTTCCAACCAGTTTCTGGATCGGGCTCGATACACACATGAGGACCGAAGGACCAAAGCGTGCATCGTGCGATCAGCTCGACCACGAGCAGAATTGCCGTAACCCGATATAGACTGCGCGCAGTAGCTCGAATTGTGCGGCCAAACATCCAGAACCCCGATCCTCGAGAGTGTCTGATTGCCTCTGTGCAAATTCTGAAGACTTTCCTGCATCAAACGCGAGGCATGTGAACTGCCCTTGTCCGATAGTGCGAATCCTCACCATCGAAGGTCTTCTTCGATTTCAAAGGACTGAATTGCTGAATTTCAGCACTGGCAAGAGCCGATGTGCCAAGAGATGATCGGGCCAATAGGTTGTTGCGAACGCGAGGCTCCGTCCTCGGTTTCGGTCACTCGCCAGTGACGTCATCGTGCCACAGCCATTTGGCAGATGCAAGAATTTCGACTTGGTTTTCGCTGGCAGCGAGGCTGGCGGATGAGGGTGATTCTCGTGGGCATGAAGTGCCCAATCACTTCCAGCCTGTGACTGGGACTGGGGCAGCTAGTGCCGGTAGGCTGGGTATCGAGCCTGACGCATCGAGCGGAAAGGAGTTTGGCTCGGCTCGGAATGTCGCGGGATGATACGCTAGGCCCTCGATTTGGCTTCATCTTGATTTGGTGGCCCCAGCTTGCTTTGATAATTCAAGCCCGAACAAGTCCCCCCCTGTGTACTAGGAAGCTGGGAATGAGATGCCAAGCGAGGCATGCCACAAGCCCTCAGGAATATTTTAAGAAATTGCGAATCGTCCCCTTTGACACCCCAGGGGGCACTCGCTATATTCATCGCTTCGTCGAATTTGACGACTTCGCTCACTTGCCGGGGCGACCAGTTGCGGTAGAATGATTTTCGGCCGTTATGCTGGTTTTGGGGTGCGGCAGCGTCGCCGGGATTGCCCGGGGGCGGCCAGAGAACTGAGGCTCGTTTTTGTCTCCATTTGTCGAATGGGGGCCGCGAAACCGGGCCTCTGTCCTCTGGGCAGGTGAACTTGGGTGTGGGGTCATCGAGATCCTTTGCCTGTAGTTCGATCGATCTTTGACAATTTGGTTTGTTGCAAAAGTGGCATCTCAAAAGACCACGAGCCAGGTGGGTTCCTTCGGGGGCGTATCAGGCGAGTGGTAATTTCGAGTCTCTTAGTAAACAGCATTGCAGCTATCCGCTTTGCGGGTGGTTGTTGTGTCTGGAAATTTGGATCAATCGTTACTTTCGCGACGAAGTGCTGTTTGTTTTTCGGCAGGCAGTGTGGAAATCGCGATGGTAGAGACCGTTGCTCGACGTCCTCTCTTTTTGAGAGCGTTCGATCAATGTGGTCAAGCTACTAAGGGCGCACGGGGGATGTCTTGGCGTCAGGAGGCTTTGAAGGGCGTGGAAGACTGCGAAAAGCT